TTCGTTCGAATGAAACCGGTTGGATCGCTTATGGTTCGCTAATGCCTCTTAACTACTCCACTAAAAACGTTCGCAGATTTGCTAATTTCGTGCAGAAATCCCCGCAACGTGCGAGTAAATGTCCGGGAATCCCCGGAAAGCTCCACTGTTTTTCCTACTGTCCTGTGCCTAAGCATAAACAACCAAATTTATGAAGACTACATGGCCTTTTACACCTACAAACAACGAACCACAAAAATGCTAATCACAACCAGCAAGATTTACCTACTTGCATAGCAATAATTCTTACAAATAGCCGTGCTTGTTTGGAGTTATTGAGCAACAATATCGCGCCTTTTGAGCGAAAAGGAGCGGCCTATTAAGACGAAAACCCATGAGTAATCGGCGAGGTTCGGTTGCAATGTAGGCCGGTCGAGTTTTTCGGCGATATTTAGAACTCCGCGATGGATGTACGTTTTTCCTCTGCGCTCGTTAATGTATAAAGAGTTAAAGAGCGGTTTTCTCATGGCGTAGCGAAACGAGGCCGATACGTTTTCGAGACGATAACAATTACGTATTGTGTGTTTGTGTGTGTGTGTGTGTCCGCGGTATTCTCACTGGCAATAATTAATTCCCAATTACATCGGCTCGTTTTTGTGGGAGATTCTTCTCGCTCGGCCGTAATTTTTTACCCACGCACTAGATTCTGATTAAAAACGTAACGTACTGGATCGAGGAAGAGATTTCTTGCTGTCTATTTCTATACCAAGCCGGTTTCTACCTCGCTAATCTACCGCATTTTTACCAACAACATTTCATCTCTTTTCTTCCCTGTTTTGAGGCCTTATTAGGACCTTCATGTATATGTTTTGACAGGGCACAGAAGATAGATGACAAGAGACAGGACATTTGACATTTGACATTTTGAATCGGCATTGACAGTGTTCCATGAGGCTGGTTGGTAAATGCAAATATCTGGGAATAGAAAATAATCGGCGGTCCGATTTCGCGAATGCGATTTGAATATTGCAGGCGCGCATTTCGTGTGAAGAATTTTTATTATCGAAAAATCTGGTTTCCTTTCGGGCCGGAATTAATTATGCATTCGAGTTTAATCGAGTGGACGTTTTTCTTTTTGAGGAAACAACGGCGATAATCGTTTACGGTATTCGATCGTATGTACGTAAAGAAAATGTAGATTAGGAATGTTATTTTAACGCTTGGTTAACGCGTCGGATTGCGTTGCGAGTTATTATACGCGGGAAAAAACGTTAATCTTATTTTAGAGTTTACAAGTGAAGCAATCATTGCAAATTGGCGACACGAAAGTATGAGTTGCAATATTATCTGCAGCCTAATTTTGAATCTACGTTAAAATAACGCATTTTGTAGGTCGAATGTAATCATTTTAAATAGACATTAAATGCGTCATTATTTACGTCGTGTATATAGGAAAATTGCAGGTATCGATTGTAAAATCGAAAAAAAAAAATTAGAAAGTTTTGACATTATATTGATTCCGGCGAAAAAATTTATTTAACATTGAACGTTACGATAAAAACAGCGTCATAAACGCGAATTCGATCAATCAAAGGTGAACAACTCGCATCAAGGCGATTGTAATATTTATTGGTCTACATTCGCAAGAGTTTCTGGGATTTTTTTAACGGACGCCTAATTAGGCAATTTCGGTCGCTAATAAGCCGATTTCGAATTAAAATGGGAAACGCGGTGATTTTTTATTCGTTATTAATTGAATTGATTCGGCATCGTTCGTTAATGGGAATTGTAACAGTGCTTTTTTCGATCTCCAATAGAAGCCTAACGAAGCGTTATTTGTACACTTTTTCTCTTATTATATCTAATCAGATTAACGCAATTAAATTTCAAGTTTCGATTTTTCACATTTTTTGCCTCTCATGTACGAAAAGTATCAAATTTTCACTATTAATGCACTTATCACGTACTCAGTGGTAGATAAGGAAATTATAAAAAATGTAAATTTGGGAATGTTTTTAATAATAATTTATTTGTATACTATATTTATAGATACATTGATAAATTAATAAGCGCCATTGCTCTTGAATTAAAGAGAACGATCGCAGATAAAATATTATAAGATATGATAATATTTTCTTTGAGACATGCGCGTTTCAAGTTAACCAATTAGTGCATTAAATAGGTTTTCTATCCATTCTTACATTTAATGCAACCTTAATATAAACAACTCTATTAAAAATCGAAATTACTGACTAACGTTCCGATTAAAGCAATTTGACTTGAATTACCTAGTTATAACGGTTCGATTTTGTATAGTATATATACAGGGCGTTTCAAAATTTCTGTTGTTCTATGCAATATGCCTTTACTCATTGCACATTGCCGTTTCAAAACGTAATGTTCCAAGGTAAAAAAATGCATATTTATTCAGGTATGCGTGAATTTACCTACGCTAATCGGTTATATTGTATTGCGTACGCTTCCGCCATATGGCAATTCAATAACCTACCACGTATGCACAATAGGAATTTGTTTGTTCACGTTAAAATTGCGTAAATATAGCGTAACGTTATTTTGACACACGTCAATTTTTAATACACCAACAGATACATTTTTAATACAGAATGACATTTAACGTGTACGTCAAAATAACGTTTGGAAAGTGGACTTTCAAATAAACTGCACTGTCGCATCAATAAATATAGTGGTAATAAACTAACTGTAGAGTAATTGCTCGAGCAGCTCTGTAATCTTTAGAAACTAATAAATCCGCTAACAAAACGGCGGGGTCACGGTTTTGCTAATAGATGTTTATTTTATTTGATTGAAAAAAAATAGAAATGGTCGAGCGGAAACGGAAAATGACCGACTATAGCTATAGAAATAACGGTGATTTTCTGTGAACTTTCTTTAGATTTAATTCCAGCCGATTAAACTATATTTATGTGTGAACGATATATTATATTTTTGCGCAAACAAATTTTTTATATCGAAAACGTTCACTCTTCAAAAAAATCAAAAAATCAGCTCTTTTCTCCTTGAATATGGAAGATAACAGAATAATCCTTGTTATACAAAGACGAGTACTTGAGTTGAGATTATTTTATCAAAGATTGCAAAACACTCAAATTTATGAATGTAATCGACGACATTTATTAATTTCAAACACCGAAATAATAATGGCCTATCGATTTTCATAAAATTTCTCTTTATAATCGACGAAAAGTCCGTTTGAATTTCGCTAATTCGTAAGTACTACACGCGAAGCGATACGTTCTAAACGCGCCCGGAGGCTGGTCATTATTTAGAAAGGGTACGGAGTGAAAGTCTAAGAACCGATAAAGAAGATTTACCTTGTTCATTGATGAGAAAGAAAGTGTCCATTTCGGAAAATATAGGGAAACCGCTCGGCAAACATGGACATATCTCGAAATAAAAGTTAAATTTAGTTCATTTTCATTTCGTTACAATCGAAACTTTCTATTATGCATCTACATACATTTGCTTCCAAACAGTCCCATTGTCCACGAGATTTAAATTAGGCAACCCAACTCGCATGGGTGGTATTAGTATTTGTCTATAAAGGCATTGTATTAGTTCTAGGTAACTCTAATTCCAAATGCGCTACCTTTTTCATGAGATTTTACGCGTCTTTTCGCAATAAACGAGCACATAATGACCGAGATGTTTGTAGGAATGCACTCGTAATAACTCAGTTGTGCAAGACATTCGACCGAGCATCTACGAGAAGAAGAAGAAACATCATCCAATTATATTATACGCGCCGAAGTGAAAGTATTATTTTTCCGAATATATTTTATTATCGAACGCAAGTGGAATAAAAAGGACGATTCGCGTCGTGACGAAAGCGACGTTATTTTATGTATATAATAATTTTTTTTCATCATTTTCGAATTGTAAAATCGTCACGTCGATCACGACATTTTTAGAAAATGCGGCCAAGGAATTGATTGTTCGGGATAATAAAATCGATTTCTAAGGAAGTAACACGAATACAGAGAAAGAAGAAGAACCCTCCCACGTATTTACCTGATTTAGTTCTACGTGATTTTTTAGTTAATTCGAGTTAATTGCGAAAGTAGCAAAAAATATACCTAATCATGGCTTTGAAGCAGGGCATGAATCGATTGATTTTATCGCCAAAAAATACCCGATTTTTCGACTGATTTCGGTTGATTGATAGGTATATTTTTATTCAAGTACAACAATTTTGTTTTCGTTACGAATTAAGATAAGATTTTTAGAACAGGTACCAAACAAGTACTTTCGTTTTTTTTTTCGCCCAATTCGCTAGTTTATCATCTACATCTACAGCATCGCAAGATTTATTAGATAAAACCGAATGAAACGTAAAATTGCGGCAACTATTCATCAATTAAGCGAGTCATGGAGTCGTAGAAGCCAGTTGAACGCAATACTTTTTCTACGATCCATTTCGAAGAAATCAAACGAGCATAAGTTAAGATGCTATTTTCGGTTGATACATTTTAAAACATGCAATTAAGAAGAGATTCGAGCACGTTTGGCATTTTATGGTCGAATATTAAGTCATTTCGTGAAAACAACAAGCCTTGACATTAAAGGCTAGGATGCCTTTCTAGCAATTAAATGGCATTTGCATTCGCATTGTTCAATTCATCGGTCATTTCTATAAATTTCCCGACTTTTTTTGTCGATTACAAGAAACAACATCTTATTATGTAAACGAAGATTGTAATTAATTTGTTGTTAATGCAAATATTTGTCGGTTTTTTTTTGCAAAAGAACCTTCGTACTCAGTTACACAACGTTCAATTATATTCCAATCGAAAATTTTATCTTCTTGCCCAACACACTAAATTGTCATTAAGCCTTACGAGTTCGATTAATACTCCTAAATTCATCTTACTCAACCCCATCGATTAGCAATCGAAACGCAAGATAATCGAAATTACCCAACGACTCCCACAATATTCCTTCACCCACTGCAAGCAGCATCGAATTGTCAATAAAAAACTCACCTTCAAACGAATCCACTAATAAAATCAAAACGAAACCCAATAAGCAATTCATCCTGGTCCGCAGCGTTTGCCTCGTTATTAATCCAATTTAGCACACATTCACACCGGTCGCATATTCCAACAAACGAATTTACAAAAAAAAGGAACCAAATCCAATCGATATAAATATAAACCGGAACCCCCGGCGCCCAGCAGCTCGCTTCCCGCTTCCCGAATCCCGCTTCCTGCGGTACCGCTAGTGTATATGCGAAGAACCTCTTGTAGCGCGCTCGAGGAATCGACCGATGCAGGTCCAAGAAGTGACTGAGTGCGGTAACCGTCGTCGAAGAATGATTTCTCAGTCACCTGTTTCGCGAACCGCTCCAAGGTAGAAAGCGGCTGACATATCGGCCCGCAAGAACCGAACACCCGTTCCGTACGTGTTTGTTCGCGTCTCGCGGTAAACATTCCGGCTCCGGAGGATCGCCTGCGACCCAACAAGCGACCCAACAAACGACCCGTCTGGGTCGGATGGTTGTGTAACTGGATGCAGAGGGATATATGGTGTGTCGTTATCGGTATCAGGGATTTCCTCTGCAGATGTCTAATTGGGGTAGCTTAAAGAACCTTCATGAGTGCTGCTGTGAACGAATAGCACGAAGCAAACTTTCTATGTTGTACTGTTTGTTGTATCAGGATTTTCCTCTGTAGGATTTACCACGGAAGCTAAAAGTACTTTCATAGGTGCTGTAGTATGCGAGTACCATGTAGTTGGAAGCGGGAAACTTTCTAAGCTGTATTGTTATCGTTATCAGCTATTATTTCTGCAGGAATTCTATCTAGGGAAGCTTAAAAGACATTCGTAGGTGCTATAAAATACGAGTACCATGTTATAGGAAATGAGAAACTTCCTCTGTTGTATTATTATCGTTATCAGGAATTTCTTCTGCAGGGTTTCTAACTAGAGAAGTTTAAGGGACCTTCTTAGGTGCTTCAATAGACGAATATCATGTGGTAGGAAGCGGAAAACTTTTTCTGTTGTATTGTTATCGTTATCAGGATTTCTTTTTTGTAAATGTTGAAGCTTAAAGGACCTTCTTAGGTCCAATAATATACAAATTCCATATAGTAAGAAGAATATGTAGTAACTTGTATTGTTATCGGTACCTATCAGAAATTTCTTCTGCAGGATTTCAAACGATATAATTAGGCAGGCTTGAAGGTGCTCATAGTCTTCATCATGAAAAGAGTTTTGGAGATAAATCTTATTGTTATCTTATTTTTATTATCTTTAATTAACATGCCAATATTGTGATTTAACCAATAAACTTCATTAACGACAACAAGTTAACATTCATTACTATGTAATCTAGCAGGTAATTTAAAGAGTGAGATAACATTTGTCTTTAAAAGCGCGTCGCGTTTTCGGGAGTCTTGTCGTTATTTTTCCGCGGCAAAACCAACATGTTCTCGACGAAAATAGCTGTGGTGTGTTTGTTGCACGTGATCGTGGCAGGTAAATAATTTGAGTTGTTGTAAAGGGAATTTTTATTGATGGGTTCGTTGTGTGTGTGTGTGCTTTTTTTTAGTGTCCTGCGACGATCCTGTGAAGCCCGTATGGTCGGAGAAGTACCTCATCAATGGTATGATCCATTATCCGGACACGGAAATTAAAGAATTTTTCGACATGTGGTAGGTACTAATTGGAGAACGTGGATGCAAGAAATGCAAATTGTGATGTTTTTAGGTATGATAGTAGCCGAAACGCTTCCCGTATCGATTTCTACGGCGGTAGCGTTAAGTACTACCAATTAGGAAATGGAAACGGTGTTCAATACAAAATCGTTCCTGTAACCACCGAGGAAGTACTCAACGAACGCACCTGTTTCCAAATCGATGGTACCGCACAAAATCCCATTGGGCCACAAGCCATGTTCCCTAACATGGATGAACTTGAATACAGAGGTACTGATATCAGTGGAAATGTTATACATAAGTGAATAACAAAATTAAACTGTTTCCAGGTCTCAAAGTAAACCAGATGGGCAAGCAAGCCGAATGTTATGAAACTGAAAAAGAGATAATGGGCACTAATCACAAATACACTTTATGGGTCAATCGAGATGCCCAGAACAACGCGGTACCTGTCTAGTAAGTTATTAGTACAAATATTTCTACAACAATCAAATTAAAACTCCAATTTTTAGCTACGAGTTAGCTGGACACAACACTTTAATGCCTCCAGGACCAACAGACGTCGTCGACATCGTCTACTTCAAATACACCCCGGTAACCGACATTCCAGCTGATGTATTCAACGTTTCCAACGAAGGTATTAACTTTTACAGTTTCGCGCAATAACTAGATTCTTAACAGGTTTCGTGTGAATTGCAGGCCTTAAATGCAAACCTTACCCCGGACCCGCCAGTCACAAAGTACACGCCTTCAATCCTGTTGCCGATATCATTCACCCTCAGAAAACCGAGCACGTCGAAGCTAGATTCAAAGAATTCGTCAACACACACGGCAAACAATACGAATCCGACGACGAGCACTCATTCAGAAAATTGCTGTTCAGACGCAACGTGAGATACATCGAAGCTGTCAACAGACAAAACAAATGTAATTTTAGTGAAACTATTTATTAAATTTCACTAATTTCGTTCAATTCCTCCTCCACAGCTTACACATTAGGTGTTAACCACTTGGCTGACAGGACAGACGAGGAAATGCAAGTACTCAGAGGCCGCATTTCCAGCGATGAAGTTGATAACGAAGGTTTACCGTTCCCTTACGAAAATCCTGAAGCTATCATAGTCCCAGATGAGCACGATTGGAGGCTTTACGGAGCCGTTACCTCAATGAAAGGTTGTGTATTGGTTAACTAGATTAATTTGCGATGCTAATTGGTTTATTTCCGTACAGATCAAGCTCACTGTTCCTCTTGCTGGGCATTTGGAGTCATCGCTGCTTTGGAAGGAGCTTATTTCTTGAAAACCGGCGAATTGAAAATCCTCTCCGAACAAGCTGTTATGGATTGCGCTTGGGGGTTAGTACTTCATAATTAAATACTTTAGGATTTAATAACTTATAATCAACGTTAAATTAGATTCGGTAACAACGGTTGCCACGGTGGAAGTCCCAAGGGAGCTTACCAATGGATCAAGAAACACAACGGTGTACCAGCTACTGATGAGTACGGAAAATACCTCGGAGAAGTAATACAAATATGTCGTGGAAACGGCAGTGATTTTATACGAGTTGTGTTTCAGAACGCCAACTGCAGAGCCGATTTGAGCAACAACACGAAATACGCCGCTTTGTCCCACTGGGTAAATGTTGCTACGAACAACGAGCACGCCTTGCAGGTGGCTTTGTTCAAGCACGGACCCGTCGAGGTCAGCGTTGACGCCAGCCAGAGATCGTTCTTCTTCTACTCAGGCGGAATCTACGACGAACAGAAATGGTAAACATCTCAAACACCCGTCCGGGGTGTGTTAATGAATTTAAAATTGCGTTTCAGCGGTTCCTCTAAGCAAGATCTGGACCACTCGCTTACTGCTGTTGGATACGGTACCATCAACGGTCAAGATTACTGGCTGTTGAAGAACACCTGGTACTACTATTGGGGAGTTAATGGCTACATGCTTATGTCGAGGAAGGGCAACGTTTGCGGTGTTTTGTCCGCCCCTACTTACCCAGTATTGAAATAAGTAGCCACCAATTGAATAATCTGAGTAAGATTATTTTGGGGGCTAGGTACAAAATTGCAATAATAAGCATTGTGAGTTCTAGATAATAAAATTTCAAATAAATTCAATAAATTCAATAGTTGTTTTATTATAAAAAAACAAGGGGAGTTTCGAATACGTGGTTGAAATTCTGAAGTGTTTCAGATACATTGTGCGGTAGATTCCAATCGAAATTACTCGTATACGAAAATTTATATATTTACAATTTACCTATGTGGAGCAACTGCTTTGATTATTGAGGACATGACTATTGCTTATAGTAATTATGCGGACGTTTTAGAATGATTATTAATGTCCATTTATAAATTAGATTATTAGCTATATCCGACCACTTGTTAGTTTTATTGAAAATTTTAAGTCACTAACCACCAGTTCATATTTTTTTTACTCAAATACCATGAGAGATGCATGTTGTTGTCAAGAGACAAAAAATGCTACAAACGAATAAAGGTCTTTATGAAAAAAATTAGAGAACAGAGGCGACCCCCAAAGAAAATACGATGTCATTTATGGTAAGATTAGGGTGATTTTTAACCTTCCATGATTTAAGTTTGTATATTGTTTACTTTGAACAATGACTCTTCAACTGAATTTTGGGACACCCTTAATATGAATCCCTTGTAGTAAGAAGCGGAAAACTTTCTCTGTTGTTTTGTTATCGTTATCAGAAATTCCTCTCCCGGATTTCTAACTATGGATGCTTAAAAATAATTCCTTAATTCCACGTAGTAAGAAAAACAAGTAGTAACTTGTATTGTTATCGGAATCTGAAATTTCATCTGTAGGATTTCAAACGAAATAATAGGAAAGCTTTAAGCAGCTTCATAGTCTTCATCATCAAAAGAGTTTTGTAGATAAATCTTTGTGAAACCATTGAGTTTCTTCTCTGCAGAATATTAATCAACCTGCATATATTCCTCAATATAAGAAAATCCTGGATATCCCACCACCGAAATTATTCGAGAACTTTCAATGTGATAACAATCATAATCACTTTCCCACTTGGTTAACTACAAGTGTAATCGTTACACAGCGAATTTGATTGGAAAGAAATGCAACTGTTGATGAAATAAATCATCAACTAAATAGTTCAATCAACTAAATAAATCATTAGTAACTATGTATAATCTCGCAGATAATCTTTAGAGTGCGATAAAATTTGACTTTAAAAGTGCATCGCGTTTTCGGGAGGCTCGTCATTAGTTTTCCGCAGCAAAACTACAATGTTCTCAACGAAAGTAGCTGTAGTGTGTTTATTGCACGTGATCGTGGCAGGTAAATAATTTGTGTTTTTTAAAGTAATTTATTAACGGATTTGTTGTGTATAATGTGTGTGCTTTTTTTTAGTGTCCTGCGACGATCCTGTGAAGCCCGTATGGCCGGAAAAGTACTACATCAATGGTATGATCCATTATCCGGATACGGAACTTAAAGAGTTTTTCGACATGTGGTAGGTACCAATTGGAGAACGTGGATGCAAGAAATGCAAATTGTGATTTTTGTAGGTATGATGGTAGCCGAAACGCTTCCCGTATCGATTTCTACGGCGGTAGCGTTAAGTACTACCAATTAGGCGATGGAAACGGTGTTCAATACAAAATCGTTCCTGTAACCACCGAGGAAGTACTCAACGAACGCACCTGTTTCCAAATCGATGGTACCGCACAAAATCCCATTGGGCCACAAGCCATGTTCCCTAACATGGATGAACTTGAATACAGAGGTACTGATATCAGTGGAAATGTTGTACATAAGTGAAAACAAAATTAAACTGTTTTCAGGTCTCAAAGTTAACCAGATGGGCAAGCAAGCCGAATGTTATGAAACTGAAAAAGAGATAATGGGCACTAATCACAAATACACTTTATGGGTCAATCGAGATGCCCAGAACAACCCAGTACCTGTCTAGTAAGTTATTTAGTACAAATATTTCTACAACAATCAAATTAAAACTACAATTTTTAGCTACGAGTTAGCTGGACACAACACTCTATTTCCAGTACCACCAGAACCATTAGACGTCATCGATATTGTCTACTTCAATTACACAGAACTAACAGACATTCCTGCTGATAAATTCGACATCTCCAAGGAAGGTACGTGTAACCTATTAATACTTCTACATTTTCGCCAAATAACCAGATTTCTAATATGGTTCCTGTGAATTGCAGGCCTTCAATGCAAACATTACCCCGGACCAAGCAGTCACAAAGTACACGCCTTCAATCCTGTAGCCGATATCATTCACCCTCAGAAAACCGAGCACGTCGAAGCTAGATTCAAGGAATTCGTCAACACACACGGCAAACAATACGAATCCGACGACGAACACTCCTTCAGAAAAATGCTGTTCAGACGCAACGTGAGATACATCGAAGCTGTCAACAGACAAAACAAATGTAATTTAAGTGAAACTATTTATTAAATTTCACTAATTTCTTTCAATTCCTCGTCCACAGCTTACACATTAGGTGTTAACCACTTGGCTGACAGGACAGACGAGGAAATGCAAGTACTCAGAGGCCGCATTCCCAGCGATGAAGTTGATAACGAAGGTTTACCGTTCCCTTACGAGAATCCCGAAGACATCAAAGTCCCGGATGAGCACGATTGGAGGCTTTACGGAGCTGTTACCCCAATGAAAGGTTGTTTACTGGTTAAATCGGTTAATTTGCGATGCTAATTGATTTATTCTCGTACAGATCAAGCTCATTGTTCCTCGTCTTGGGCTTTCGGAGTCATCGCCGCTTTGGAAGGAGCTTATTTCTTGAAAACCGGCGAATCGAAAATCCTCTCCGAACAAGCTGTTATGGATTGCGCTTGGGGGTTAGTACTTCATAATTAAATACTTTAGGATTTAATAACTTATAATCAACGTTAAATTAGATTCGGTAACAACGGTTGCCACGGTGGAACTCCCAAGGGAGCTTACCAATGGATCAAGAAACACAACGGTGTACCAGCTACTGATGAATACGGAAAATACCTCGGAGAAGTAATACAAATATGTCGTGGAAACGGCAGTGTTTTTATGCGAGTTATGTTTCAGAACGCCAACTGCAGAGCCGATTTGAGCAACAACACGAAATACGCCGCCATTTCCGGCTGGGTAAATGTCACTTCGAACAACGAGCAAGCCATGAAGGTGGCTTTGTTCAAGCACGGGCCCGTCGAGGTCAGCGTTGACGCCAGCCCGAGATCGTTCTTCTTCTACTCAGGCGGAATTTACGAGGAAGAGAATTGGTAAACATCTCAAACACCCGTCCAGTGTACGTTAATGAATTGAAAATTGCATTCCAGCGGTTCCTCTGTGAAAGATCTGGGCCACTCGCTTACTGCTGTTGGGTACGGTACCTTGAACGGTCATGATTACTGGCTGCTGAAGAACACCTGGTACTACTATTGGGGAGTTAATGGCTACATGCTTGTGTCGAGGAAGGGCAACGTTTGTGGTGTTTTGACCGCCCCTACTTACCCAGTATTGAAGTAAATTGGACCACCAATTGAATAATGAGTTCTAGATTATTAATAAAATTTAAATAAATTCAATGGTTGTTGTTTTATAAAAAAAGGGTAGTTTCGAAGAAACTAAACTTTTAGGGATTGGAGAATTTGCGTGTTTAAAATTCTGAAGTGCTCAATCTCGAGATACTTTGTGCGGTAGATTCCAATCGAAATTATACGAAAATTTGCATATTTATAATTTACCTATGTGGAGCAACTGCTTCGATTATTGAGGACATGACTATTACTTCTAGTAATTATGCGGACGTTTTTGAATCATTATTAACGTCCATTTATGAAAAAATAAATCATAAAATCGCTGTCATTTTTAACCGCTGTAATTTATTGGAATTATCTGCGAAGAAATTAGAATTCTCCAAAATTATAAATCATCTATCATTTTATCCACAATATAAAGGTATACGTGCCTAATTTTTGTATCAATTTATAAAAAAAAATAACAGATAAGCTTCATAAGTGGAGGCCAGTTTCTGTAGAACCGAAGTATTATTGATATTTCTGATAATTTAAAAAGAAGACTTACAATGACATTGACGTTCAAATTTCTAGGTTAAGTTGATTTGACACATAAAAAATAATACTCTTTCGCAGTTAACGACTCCACATATCCCTAATTAAGTCAAAATAATGAAAGAAATTTCGAATACGCAGGAAAAACAAATCACGCAAAATGGCCGAGCCGATGCGGAGGAGAAACAGCGGAAGAAATCCAGCGGTTTGATGAAGTTCTCCAGCTATGTACTGGCGTTACGTCCTTGGTCGCTGAGCGCCAGCCTAATGCCGACCCTATTGGGCTCCACGCTAGCATACAAATACCCCGGATCCACGGATTTCAATTACATAACCCTGCTTTTAACCGTTCTAACCGTCGTAACGGTGCACGGGGCCGGCAACGTAGTCAACACCTACTTCGACTACGTAAAGGGAATCGACAACAGGAAATCCGACGACAGGATCCTGGTGGATCACATCCTATCAAAAGACGAGGTGGTCTCGTTGGGAGCGATGCTGTACTTCGCGGGCTGCGTGGGGTTCATTCTGCTCGCGAACCTGTCCCCCGCCAAGATGGAACATTTAGCTTTAGTGTACTTCGGCGGATTGTCCTCCAGTTTTCTGTACACCGGAGGAGTCGGGTTCAAGTACATAGCTCTAGGTGACGTATTGATTCTCATAATATTCGGCCCGATATCCGTTCTGTTCGCGTTCATGTCCCAAACGGGCTACGTCGAATGGGCCACGATCTACTACGCTATACCGTTAGCTTTGAATACGGAGGCCATTTTGCACAGCAACAACACGAGGGACTCGGAATCGGATAAGAAAGTCGGAATCGTCACGTTGGCTATCGTAATAGGCCACACGGCCTCTCACGTACTGTACGCTTTCTTATTATTCACCCCTTACATCATGTTTATGGTGGTTTCGCTGAAATACTCCAAGTGGTTCATGTTACCTCTCGTAACTCTGCCGGAGGCTTTCAAAATCGAGAAACAATTCAGATCGAATGATATACACGATGTGCCCAAAAAGACCGCCAAATTGAATCTGTTTTTCGGTATACTTTACGTTATAACTTGCAGCATGGTGGCTTCCCTACCGTATCTCACGGTAAGATAAATTCTAACGATTCTAACATTGCGCTTTAAGAAGTGCATAATGAATCGACATTTTCTGTAGGATCTAAATTATTTCAAATGGGGCTAGTACGTTAATTTTGAATTGAATTTATATTATATATTTTTTTTAACGGTTAGAAATATAAATGTATATTGTTAGTTCTATTTATTTCGTATATGATTTCAGGTTGTCAGACAATAAGTAACGCTTTGATGTACAAATCGTATTTATTTTGATATTAGAGCAGTTCCACAAGGTGCAATATATTGCAGCCATTTATTCCTGCAATATATCGCACAGTGTGAAAACGCCCTTACTTTTTATTAGCTGTAGCTACAGTAGAGGCTCTTAATTATAGCGTTTTCACACGGTGCAATATATTGCATTGCAGTTAAAATACAGTTAATAAGCAATTGATTGCTGCAATATATTGCACTGTGTGAAAACTCTCTTAACTTCTACTCGATGACAATAAATGTAAATAATTTCTTTCTTTCTAGTTTCGAATACTCAGGATATAAAACATATCTCGTATAATGAATTGTGTATTTTAATTTTTGTACCTATTCTTAAACGTTTGTATACAGGGCGTTTTAGTGGTTAAATAACGATTTTTCTGCATCAAACGCCCTGTATTCGAGCGCGTTATTAACATTTTATTTGATGTATGTAATTGCTTTAGATTTTTAGATTTACAAAATCGACGTGGTTGTAGTTGCATTAACAAATTGTGCAATAAACTAAAGAGAAAACATCGACTCAAAATATCGTCATTTTTTTCTTGTCGTCTCTCAAGTTTTGTTCGAACTTCACGTTCCGAGCCTGCTGTTTGTAATCGTTTATATCACTTATTTTTTTTAGGTATTTTTGCTTCAGATTTTTATACACTTCTGATGCGACGTCTTTGTGCCTCTCCAACGAGCGCGTAAGGCCTATCAAGTCCCGCTCGGCGTCTTTAATATCTTTCTCTATCTGCAAGCTTTTTATGTTCAAATTCCTCGACGTTTCTTCCTTTAAGTTCTCCCGTTTTGGTCGAGTTTTATCAGTAGTGCGGCCTTGAAAGGCCCCGTTGATGATGGTAAACACGTCCTGTTTCTGGGATTCCCTCTCGTAGAATTTCTTCCTCTGCATTTCCCGCTTCTTTTGCTGACGCTTCATCTTCCTTTCGACGCTGAACAAGTCTCTATCGCCTCCTGCTTGCTCTCTAAGATTCATGCAATGATCTGCAAAGTAATTCGAATCATACAGGGGAATTTGAATTGAGTAAAATGCGTACCTAAGGATTTTCCTGCTGGGAAAATTACAGCGCTTACTGGATTTATTCTACCTTCTGCGTTCTTTCCTAATCCTGTTCCGATGACATACCCCATTTTGAGCATCATTTTGGACCCCATTCCCTTAAAATATTTAATGTAATTACTCGAAAGAAGGATATTCTAGTACTCATACTTTAGTATATTTCTCCCAATCACCGAGCATCGTACTTTCCGGTGTAATTAGCAGGCTGTTATTTATTATATCTTCTTGACTAACGAGTTCCTCGTATTCGCTTTCGATGTCTTCCTCGCTGCTCTCGGAGTCGTTTTCTAAAGGAAGCACATGCTCTAAGTCGAGTTCTAATTCTTTGGAATCGCATTCGAATTTAACGGTGCACTTGGCATCGAATATGTTGGAGATTTTGGCTCGGTACCAGAGGTTGTCCGGTTGTTTGGCCAAAACCGGGCTACCTTTCGATAGCAGTTCGAAGTTGGGTTGAGTGTACTCCTGAAGACTAAACGAATGTGTGAATAAATCGATGTTGATGTTTGAATTTGAATACCTCGAGTAAGGTAGGATTTCTCCGTGGGAGAACCTGCATTGCTCGTCGGAGAATTTACAATCGGATTCGAATAGGTAAGGGCACGGTAGCATTTCTTTGTGTGTTGGGTTTATGTATAAAACTTTGACTTTGAGGTCTTCGTTTTCGGTTTCGATAACAGAGGATATTATTGCATTGTGGTACACTTCGGTGCCCCATTGGTGTTTATGCGGAGCCCTGCATTTCTTGCCTTCCAGGTCTTTATGTGCGGATTCTTTTTTAGTTTCCAGCGCACCTAAAATGTATCGAATTAAAGTTGTACAATTAGTGACTCGAATCGTTTACCTTCTTTTGCCATTTCGGCCATAAATATCGCATATTCATCGGCTAAATCGTCCGAATTATTATCTGCTTCGTTTTTAGTTAATTCCAAAAGCTGTTCGATGTTGGATTTTAAGTTTATCAACTCGTCTTTTTCTTTTCCTTCGGGGCATACTTGTAGGGCTTCTTTTATGTGATTCAACTGGATTTGGAGAGAAAAAAGTGTGTTTATATCACAAATTTCTATAATTAAATTAGTTTACCTGTAGTTGATAGGAGTTTAAATCTTCTATGTTCATTTTATTGGGTACTTTTTAATTGTAATTCATTTTATTAGGTATTTATTTGTTTTGAAGTAGCCTGTCAAAAATGTCAATGTTAAAAAGTAATCAATTCAAGACTTGTTCTTAATGATTACTCAGTTAATTCTTCTTTTTTTAGAGATTTCAAATGACATAGTAGGTCAAATGTTGTTGATTCTGTGAAATTTTGAATTTTTAATTTTGACGTGTGACAGTTCATTTTTGCCGGTTTTCCTCGTTGTGAAATATGGAAAATGCAAATAAAGTTCAATTAAATTACAGTAAAATTAGTAAAAGGTAATGTTAAACATTAAGTATATCGTATATTTGAATAATTCGATTTGTAGGTTCGATTTCGGTGTGCCTTTAGAAGATATATTCGACGACAGAGATCTTCACCCCCGCTTGAAGGTGAACTTTATTAAATTATTACGAATTTATACGATTACTTTGTCTAACTTTTAGCTCGTGTTTCAAAATACATTCGAGCTCTACAAGAATAGCGGTTTGAACGTTGACGTTATTTTAAAGTAAGTAAAACTTAAAATTTATAGTAGTAGCGGTAGTTCAAATAATACTATAGTTAATAGTATTAATACGCTTGTTTTCTAGTCAAAATTTATCCCTCGAAGACTGTTTGAGGCTAAAACAAAGCATTATACTCGATCGACATCCCGTTGTGTGTACTTACCAACCGGTGGGCGCGTATTTTTGGATTATCCGCCACTTTCTGGGCCTTCTACCTTTACCTCTTCTACCCCCTTGTACGAGCACCCGTAAATATTCTTGGCGAAATTTGTCTTCGAAATGCCGAAACGTGTTAAAATCCAAACCCAGATACAAAGAAGACTGCAATTCGTTGAATTACCTAATCTCAAGGTAAATTGTATTATACGAACTAACCTTATGTAATTTATTCGTTTTAGTTCGTTGAATAGCTTACCGAACGAGCATATAATGCTGCTGAACGCAGTGGTAATTTTCCTGCGAAAAATCCTGAAAGTTAATTTAAGCAAAACCATTTTCCGAACCCTTATTAGTTATTACTGCGATGCTGTTTTTATCAGGCCGTTTAAACCCGGAAACGATCGTGCTGTAAGTATGCTCAATAGTTAACACAAATCATTCATTCGAGTTCATTTTCAGACCGAAGATTTCATCCCATTGTTCGTTTACTTAGTCAATAAGTGGTACAAAATCGTCAAACACCTAAAAACCACCCAACTGCCTTTATTCGCAACCGGTTACACTTACGCAGAAATCAATCCACCCGTTTCGCAGTACCTCGAACCGATTCGAGCGCCTTACGTGGTGGTTAACAGATACGTAAGAGACTCCGAATGCCAGACGGATTACTGGAAAACCCGCCAATCAATCAGCACGACGACTCCCAACGATATTTTATTCGATGAGGTCAATTCGCAGCAGGACGTGCTCAGGATTTATCCGGCGAAATCGCAGAAGCTGTCCTCTTTCATCGGTACTCTCGATAGCATTACGGAGGACGGGGAACCGGCCGGTTTCGATTACAGTTACGAGAGATTGTACGATTTCGATTCCACCATAGACGATCCGCATCTGAAATGGGACGATGTGGTGGCGGAAATTCGGAATACTGTAGAAAGAATAGAGAGTTACAATTACGAAAGCGATCGTTATTCCTCGATTTTAGAATGTTAGTACCCGTCACGGCCGTATATTTACTATACCCCGTATAGTCTTTCTAAAGTCAGCGTAACTTTCGTAACGCTCTTCTAGTTCATCGTCTCGAGGCCTCGGCTACTTAGGCTATGCGGTCTACTTTAAACTGACTTTTAGGAAGGCCGTATTTTCGTGCGGTTTTTGGTGATTTTGTCTGTTCCAGTCGATTCCACGTCGTCGTCGTTTCGCTCCGGAACGGATTATATATCGTTTACGGACTCGTCGTCGGGTAAGGGGCGCGAAACGGCCCCTCCGCCGCCGGTAAAACGGAAATCTTCGGGCAATTTGGACACCTCCATGTACCTGAGTTTTTGTACCAAGTCCGACGAGGAGCTGTACGCGCTGGATGACAGCGATGCAGAGGACACCGTGTCGAATTTCAGTTTGAAAAAGTTGATATTCAATTTCAAATTTTTGAAATCCCTGTCGCCGAAGCTCAAACGGTCTAAGGGTATTTTTAGGAGTAGCACCAACAGTAATGTTAAATACAAGAGGTTCAGGTTTTAGTTAGTTTGTTTTTCGTGTTTTTCTGTTAAGATTTTTAAGTAAAAATATGTAGTTTATGGTGGTTGGTAGTTTTTTAATTGTCACCTGACTCTCTTGAAAAGATATTTGATACTTTTGGGTAGCTTATTGACTCGCTTTGGTAGATATAAATGACTCTTGGGTAGTTGATGGGCTCTCTAGTTAGACAATGAACTCATTTGGGCAGATAATTGACTCTTGGGTAGATATAGTCGACTCTTGGGTAGTTAATGGGCTCTCTGGTTAGATAATAGACTCATTTGAGCAGATAATCGAGTTTTTTAGGTAGATAATTGACACTTGGGTACGTTATCGACTTTTTTGAGCGACTTATAGACTCTTTAAATTATTGCTACGTTGTGACGTTTCTCTTAAATTCCCTGAAACCTCCGATTGTATGCATGAAATAAAATATAACGAATTGATGAAGGAAAGCGAGAATTTCCCATTTGTTATCGACGTTTTAAGCGTTTCCCTTTAATTCGGACGAGTCGGGAAAACACGCCGGTTTACTGGATAGATACTTTTCTTTATCAAACAAGCATCAGACGAAGTTCGCTGGCGTTCGAACTGGCGGAAGCTAATCTCTATAAAATTTATTTTTATTTGTTAGTTCTTAGGAACGAATGTGGCTTCGGCTAATTTATTGTTGATAAGATTTTCCGTTAATGTTCAGATAAATTTCCCGAGGATTCGCTGCTTTTTCCCCGGGAGCGGCGAGCTAAGCAGTTTTTGATTGGATTGTATGCCTTTTTTTTGGTTTATTCCGCCCCGCCGTCACTTTATTAACTTTTGAAGTAAACTTTTTGCCGCGCTTTAACGGCACTTTCGAGCCGAAGTTGTTGTCATGTTAATTGAGAAATATCCGTTTTAGGAATGTTAATGTTGCGTATATATCCAGCGGAAAGTTCAGTTTCATGGTAATGAAGAAAACACCGGGAGTTCCTCTTGCGCTAGTGCAACTTATGCACGTCGCGAGCAATTTGCACCTCATTACACCGGCTGCATTATTGCACTCGGGCATTTTTCATTTCTCGAAATGAATTCCGATTTCGAGTTGAATTCGGAACGTTCCGCGGCGAAACCCACGCGCTATTATTCCGACAATTTTTACGCTTTATTATTTATTCATGCCTTATTTTTGAATACTTATTCGGCGGAAGTTTAATGGAAGATACAAGTAAATATTTTCCTCTCTCGCTATGTCTTTTTAGCTCTTGAGGTACTGTCACATTTACATTAATTTTATTCACGGTTTCTACAAGTGAAATCGTTTCTAATAAGGCGCATTTTGAGGCAAAAATATTACCTACAGTTGGTGCAAAACGGTTGACCAACATTTAATAATAAATACACAAAATATTTTAAGCTTAGGTAATACCTGCAGAATTTCATTTAATAGAGGGTATTCTCGAACTTATGGCACTAAATTCTAGGTGTGGTAGTTTGTATAATTTGAGAGTGATTCGCAGATTTCATTTTTCTAAAAAAAATATAATAAACAAAATAGAGCTATTAGAAATAAATGCAAAGAGCGAATACAACCCTGGCCTGAATAATCAGCTTATCGAAATTTTAACACAAAAAACAGGTTCGGTGTATTTATCAGCAAGCGCAAATTTCCCCCTCCGTCCTTCAGCTTTCGAACAACGTTACCGATAACGATTGTTTTCTAGTGCGAATTGTTTTGTTTATAATATATAATGTTTTTGTTTTTAGTGTTTTTAGTTAATTCTTAGTGTTCTTCTTAGTTACTTCTTGTTCGTTGTAGTGATGTTCTGGAACAATTAAGATGAAGCTTTCAACAATAAAATAGGTGAGCTAATATTCCTTTTGAGTTTATAAGTTTATTTTCTTTTATTGTTCTAAACATTTAGAGACCAAATTTCCAATTTTGAATCGATCTTAAATTATGTAAGTTTAAAACAGGGTGCAAGAGAACACCCTGTTTTAACAAGGGTTGATAGAAAATATTAAAAAGCAGAATTAATCATCCAAAAAACTGCATATTGTCAAAATTCAACGTTGGTATAAAAAAATATTATTTTCTTATAGTAGGTTGGTAGGCACTGACTGTCAAGTTGCGTAGTTGCCGTTGTCATTCGATGGGTACTTTCAATTTCTTCTTCTTTTCTCTAGTTTACTAGCCTCAACTACTAAAGGCTATTCAGCCGATTAATCAAGAAATAAGAATTTTTTGCGTTGTTATCTTTTCCACATTTTAGAAATGACACAATTTGAGCTCTAAATAATTCAGATTCAGAAGTTTTTTTAATAATTTCACTATGTACTCTTTTAAGGGTCAATTATACACTAAATTTTTTACTCGCACTGTTAAATATAATTTTTCATGTCATTTTGCCATTTTAGAAAATTCTCAGATTTTGTCAACTCTATAAAATTTCGGCAACACAGCCTACTTGTGACGTAGTTAACCAAGTTTTGCACCAACTGTATTTTTTGATTATTTAATATTACACGGCCCGTTGAGTGTGAATAGAAAAAAAACCGAATAACCCAGCAAAAGTATTCGTTATCGGTTTTCATGGAGATTCCTTTTTCCCCGCGTCATCCATCAGTGGAAAATCTGCGTGCGTTTAAGGCGGATGACACGTGTCGATTGCGATAGGTGTTTGGCAAACTTTCTGATGTTTTGATAAAACGTAGTGAATATGGAAAACGATGTGCTCCAGATACCGCAAGATCGATGGTAAAAGCGGCTTTTAAGAGCTCTCCCATTCGACGCTATGCACGTATTCGCCGTGGAAATTCTCCCGTGCATCACCCCCCTTCGTCTTTCCTCGGCACATACTCGCACCGAATATAATAAAATATGAATCTGTTTTCTGCGTCCGACACATTTTAGTTTTTATCATTTTTATTACCTCGCGTCGCAATTTAGGGATTTCCTCTACAGCTTCTTCGAAGCTGATTGTTATTCCGTTCCGGGTTGGCGTCTCCGCGTGGGTCTGTGTGTGTGTGCGCGTGGAAATTGTTTTGGAATTTCGGGCGTTTTTTTCTTCGGCATTGCCTTTGTCTTCTTATACCTTTCGAAATTTATTATTCCTTTTATATGTTTGCTCGGCAGACAGTGGTAGAACACGATTTTTCCACCAAAATCCACTCCTGGGTCTCAAAGAAATTCATTTAAATGTGACAACGTCGCAATTTGTTATCTAAGAGAATCACTTATCTAATTAATAGTCAATTATCTACATAAGGGATTCAATAATCTAACTAAGAGAGTCAATTATCTATGAGTTTATTATCATCCTAAGAGAATCACTTATCTTATTAATAGTCAATTTTTTGCTTAAGAGAATCAATTTTCTAACTAAAAGAGTCAATTATTTTAATAAAGTCAATTATCTACCTAACTAAGAAAGTTTATTATCAATTTAAGAGAGTATATATTTTACCTAAGAAAATCACTTTTCTAATTATCTGCCCAAGAAAATCGCATATCTAATTAATTGAATCATTTATCTACCTAAGAGAGTTGTTTTTTTACTCTTATAAAAACTGGCATAATCAGGTAAATGAAAATGGGGTTTTGAAACGATTTAAAAAATCAAATTCTTGTCGAGTTTGACAAATCAGCGTTGCCAACACAGTTTTTTAAAATTTATTGCCAACTTAATTTGTAGAGTTTGCTATCGGGTTATGCGAAAATGGCGGTTTCGAATCGTCGAAAGGAGAATGTAATTCGTAAATTAAAAATGGGCAAAAAAATTCGGCCTGTTTCGGGAGGGAAGAATCGGCGCTTTGGAAGTAGAAAGAGAGTCGAATTAAATTTTTATTAAATTTCCGTTTTATTAAACGTTTACGAGATGAATTTTCCACGGGCCTTTTTAAGGTTTATGCCCCAGTGGCCACTTGCAATTTGTTTTATTGCCCTTTTGGAACATATTGCGCGGGATTAGTTACGTCTTAAAGGGTACATAAAATTTTTAAAAGCCAATTTATGCCCGCCGGAGTACGTCGCTCGAATTGAAAAGCGGCCGTGTTGTGTTGTTCTTCCAACTTTTATTATTAAGAAGGAAACGTCTAAAAATTGCGCTTTTTTTTCCCTCTCGATATCGACCAACTTTCCGATTTTTAAAATTTATCTCGCAACGGTAAGGGAAACTTAACCGATATCGGAAATAAAATGCGGTTATTTTTCGACGAAGAATCCGGCATATCAATGTTAACTCGGAATTGATGGGGTAAGGGAGAGAGAGAAGCAAAAAAAAACCCCGGAACGAGTCTCAAATTCAACATGCTGACTAAGATATTCCCGAAAGAAAAATGGGAAAACAGCATAATGTAGAGCCGAACACTATGTAGGTAAACATCAAAGGAAAGGAAAAATATAAAGGGAATAATAAATTTCCGCCAGTGGTGGGTAAACGTGAGTTCCTTCCAGATTACGCCAGAAACGGGAAACGCCCGGATTAATGGCAACGACAAAAACTAATGCGTGTTGCTTGAAACAACGACACCGACTATTTTCCGGTAGAACGGCTCTCAATGGGCCCTTCTAGGTGTCCGACTTCAAACGTTACCCGTATTCAAATTGCTGCACTTCAGAGCTCGCGTGTCGCTTTTACCCGGAACCCATTTTCCCTGATACCGTCGCCCTCTTTTCTCCACTCTCAACTGTTATGGTTTTGCGTATTTTTACCGTTATCTCATTATCAGAGGCGTACCGACTTCTGCTGCTAAACCTTCCAAACGCTCGATGCGAAATTACCTCTGCGCTACTGGGCCAATAGCTGTGTTGTGTCCCCAAAGGGCCATGTTTGAAGTGCCTTTGTCTTGCACTTGCTGAATTTTCTGCGAAAGCTCTAATGAAACCAGCTTCGACACGGGGCACTTGTTTTCTGATAAGATTTTCGGGCGGTTATTGTGTAGTTTGATGCTGGTGTTAAATTCACTCGCTTGGGTAAGTAAATAAATAAAACGACAAAATCATCAAAAATTAATTTCATTACAAGAGTGACATGTATTTACGTTTTCGTGCTTGAATCCTTAGAGGTTTTGTGTACGAGTCCCGTTTTGGGTACGTACGCGGTTCGTGAATCTCCATCGGACGTTAAAGACGAATCGTTGTTGACCAAAAGCAGCTGCAGCTCTCTGCTCCTGAGCAGCTCCCTCTTCCGCGTCCTTTCTTCGGACAGGATCAGCTCTTTCATTCTCAATTCGTGCCGGAGCAGAGCCCCGTTGTCGCAATTACAGCACCACATGGTGTCTCATTCGTCGTCGTCCCGTTTGCTCTTCTCCTTCTTCTTCAACCGCTCCGTTTCCTTCTCTTCGCGCTTCTCTTCGATCTGCTGCTTGATGATCAACTCCCTCACGCGGGCCTCTTGGTGCAACAGCGTCGCCAAATCGTCCGGTTTCTTGCCGCTGCAAGTCGGCTTCCAGCAGTTGTTGTACATCTATATCTGATCACTTCCGTTTGCGCGATCCCGAGTTGGCCTTCATCTCCTCTTTGAGCAACTTTAGCTTCTGCTGGTACTCCTTCTCCTCTTTGTTCCGCCGCCTTTCGTCGTTCAGGATGCGGCACCTGATGCGGTACTCGATGAACGATATGTACCGCGGATCTTCGCAGCAAGGCCGACAGCAAGAACTGTAACAACAAGAATATGGATAATAGCACATGATGGTAATGGGATGAAATTTACGTTCACATAGAATTTTGATGAGTGCTGACAATTACTTTATTTTTTTTTTTTGATAATTTAATGGTTGCCATGGGTGGGTGTTACAGGGCGTTTCCGCTATGTTTTTAGTCGTTTGAAAGTTGGACATGCATATTTGAAGAGTTTTCTGTTTTAATTGCACCTGCATATTCCGTGATATTAGTGCGGCAACATTAATTCGAATAGTTGTGGTACTGGGAAAATTCGCAATCGCAGTTGTTAGATCAGAAATTTCTGTTTTCAGAAGCGTAGGAGGTTTCGAACGAATGGAAGTATTCACGGTAAATAACCTCGCATAATCAACCATAAACTTTTAAGTTGCAAAATTAATGTAACTTGTTCTAACAGTGCTGCTAAACAGCGACTAATTAACAATACAAGAATTCGCTGTAACAAGGTACGCTGAAATTTAATGAACGCCTCTGATACGAACTCCTCGTCAAAATTCCGGCATGAATTCAAACAATGCGATGCAACAACGTTTATTGAATTTAAGCTTATTCAGGATAACTTCTGGACAAGGATAGACATGTAGGTCCCCTAGAGAGTTGCCTTCAACTTGTATAGTATTATCTGTGATACAGCTCGAATAGATTTACACGTGTAACGCAACGATTAATAGGCTCAGCAATCAATGCGATATTTGTAAATTCGAAATAGAGGTTATACAATGGAAGGCTGGTTAAATGAATAGAGTAGGAGTTGTTAGGATTGGTGTATAGTAACAATTTTTTTGATGAACGTTTAGTAATTATTTTATAGTGTAAATCTACTATTAATTCACCCGGAATCTTCCTGATTAATAATGCAACTCATAACTCGCTCCAGTCTGGATACACTCGAAGCGCGTTTCGATAATATTCCCGAAGAAACGAAAGGGACAAAAAAAAAACCACGCGCTCAGATGTCTATCGCGTAGTTTCCCTTTGCTCGTCGTCGAATCCCAAATCCGAAAACCCGCTTTGGAAGTTTACAAAGTTTTATTATCGAGCTCCTTTTGTCTCATCTTAACGTCATTAAGTAGAGTTTCCTTTGACCTGGCCAATCATGGGAATTGCGTCGGGACGGCCATTCCGATCCGCAATCCTCTCCGTTGTCCCGCTAGAGAAAATAGCTGCATTCTAACAGATGTAATCGGGATGATTCCAGCACACTGAGAAAACTCACTCGCATTGCTTCCTCGTTATTTTCGGTTGGAATTTAGAAGAAGGGAGTGGTCGATGCACTTTTCTGCGTGTAAGTAACGTGTATTTTTTCCTTCTGTGTATACGGTCCGACGGTTTTTTTTTGTCTTGTTGTATTCTTAGCGAATCTCTCTTTCGGATTCAATTTCCTACCGATGGTATCTCCGTTATTCGAAATAATATTACATCGTATTGCCATTACTATTGCAATGGGTTCGGACGACGATGAAGTTTTTGTCAGGCCTTAGAACAAGGCCGTTCGAGTGCATTTGCCCAGCGTCGCCGAATATTCGGAATTTAAAATGATTTTCCCCTGTTAAAATTATCCGTTTTATTAGAGACACTATCGTGTTAATTCCAATTATGTTTGTTGATGGAATAAGTGGTTAAAATGATGGAAATTTTGAAGTTTCTCTCAAGATTCCTAAGTGGTTTTCTAACGGTTTAGTTACATTTTCGTGGTGTAGTGAAGGCAAGTTAGATTGTATCGTTACGCCGCTGGCTTTCCAACATTCTATAGTCTCTTTAGATCCCGTTCAAAGATACGAATACAAATTCTAAATTCAATTACTTTATACGTCCCTCGCGCTTAAAAGTTAAAGGATTGGTAACGTCGGAAAAAAAGTCGTGTACGGTTTCTTTCGGTTCGTCGAAGGGGAAAAAACAAGATGAAGAGGAAACAAGTTGGGCATTCCGCTAACCGATGTCTCTGCGCCGCGTTTTCCGGCCGCTTTGTTTTTTCTCGATTTTCTCTCCAGATCCCGCTCGATCGCCGGTGTTTCGACAGCACAATATTCTCTCGCAATGAAAACCCGGACCTTATTCCTATTAAGAAAACCGAGGTTCCTATTTCTTAACTATTATTACGGCCCAGATTTATGTATTAAACCTCTCACAGCCACTCTAAAAGGGACTCTATGTATTCCACGCGCCGGTATTCGCGTTAGCCCGAAGCTCAACGAGCAACAGACCATCCAAACAGCGTTTTGACTTCCAACGCCTCTACCGGCATTCAGTTTTGGCGTCTTCCCTAATGGGGTCCGCCTGTAAGTTTTGACATCGTTAGACGTCCGCGGGGTTATTGCGGACCCCCGCAGGAGAAGCGGGCCCGTCGGAACGCCCTGCCCTTCGGTCCCTTAGTTGTCGGCGTAATTTCGTGAAACCGTCGGAGATTAAAAGCCGTGCATGATGGGCCGGAGTGGCAGGAGGCGAGGATTGGAGCCCGAGGATTTTATGTGCCTCCGGGGCGGGTTCGTTCGCCATATACACAACTATTTCCCGGCGTAATTTATTTCTGCGTATAGCCAGGTGGGCATCCCGATGGAAATTTGCGTAATGAATGGGAACTGGCAATCAAAGTGGAATGATGATGGTGACGAAGAGATTGGTTTGGAGAAATTGGAATAGTGGTGTGTAATTCGTTATGCAGTAAAAGCTAAGGGAAGCTTTTTAATGAACTCAAACTGCTGAGAATGAGAGAGTTTTTTCGATGCGAAATTTGATTGCAGGAGAATTGAAGAGGATCAATGAATAATTGGAAATTTTAACCTCTTTTACAACCGTTATTACAAATCAACTTCGGCGGTAAAAAACCGGAATAAAAAGCTAAACGGTTCCGGACGAAAGCAACTTTCTTTTCTTCGAGTATTTGTTTTCAAAATTGCATTCTTCGCGGAAACAATCGCGCCTTTCAATTCCCTTCTAATGGAAACAACGAGAACTGGAAGAGAGAAACGATAAAAAACCGACTATATAGCGTGCCCTGCGATCGCGAGAGAGCTTTCCAGCTATTTACCCCGCGCTATTTTCCCGCTACTTTACTATTTACGATTGCGATCCTCGGCTCATAATAAGCGATAAGGAAAGGTAGAAAGGGGTTAGACATTTTTATGCAAAACCGCCGTCGAAACGCTGTAATTATAACGCGTTATCGGTATTCAGTTCGAAGAACGTCTTCGGTTATCTACCGTAAAATAAGTAAAAAAATATCCGCAGCTCTTCTAGCACGGTAGATGGCGTTGATACGTGGTACGTGGCACAAGCACGAGAAACTTAATTATTATTCAAATTTTACGATTTGCATTTTCGCCCTGCAATCTCCAAATTACATCTTAGGATTGTTTATAGTGTTTTGTAAACTACGTGCCTTTTTAATACTCCAATTTTTATATACTTTGATATAAAGATATGAATATATTAAAAACAGAATCGCCTCTTAAATTTGTTTCTCATTATTTTGGAATAATCAGTATTTTAATATCTAATTACATCGATTTTCAATAAAATTGTGCTTTCGTTATAATTGCCAATACCGGCATACGATTTACACAACACAATTAAAATGGTTTCGTTTTATATTTTTTTACAGTGAACTCGGTAATTAATAGGAATTAGCCAGCATTACTTAATTACAGTTAATTTATGGTAGCCATAAATTTACAACCTGTTACTTAGTCCTATTATTGCTTAGAAGCATTTCCACTCGTTCTGTAGCCGGTATATACGTATACATACAATATCGTGATCTCGTTTGTTAGGCATGCACCTGTTCTGGCGTTTGAATTATGGCATTCCCTTCTATACTCACCGTTTTAATGCACTGCCTGTGCAGCCCTCGTAACGAACACGAAATTAAATACAGAAAAAAAAAAAATTCACAGAGCTCACCTTAACGAGAATTCATGCGAAACTGTACTTCAAGTCGCTGAATTAATCTAAAGCTTAATTAAAATTGTGTATAAGCAGATCTATAGCAAATTGATGGTAAATATTTTTGTACATATAGTCGGGTAGATTAAGCTGGAGATTCGCAACTATTTTGCATTTACTATTTAAGTATAATTAAAACGAACTGGAATGTAATATAGCAGGAATACTATAATATTACCAATAATATGCATTCTTCTCGAAATTCCAATGAATTTACGTTTGCATTCGAGCGTATGTGGTTTACTTTCAGAGCAAAACAAATAGGTAAATGAAACCGATATGCATTTAACGGAATTAACTATAAATAAGCGGAGCTTTATTAAGCGCGGTTTATGCCGCAGGAAAAACTTCTCAAGCACAACTATTTCTACCCTTTCGGAAATATACCACATAACTGCAAATTTGTTCGCAATATGGTCTATATATAGGTGCAACAAAAACAACTTCTATTAGTCTCATATAAAGGAAAAAGAAATAATAATATTGTGAGATTGCAACTTTCTCAAATTTACCTATAATATGGGCGAGGGAATGCTCATCCTGTAGGTAGCAGGAGGGAGTTTGATAGGTGCCGAATAACCGCAGTGATAAGGGACGACACGGCTACATTAGCCTACCGCGAAAATTCGATTTAAATTTCCCTCTTTCGTTCTTCGCCTTATAAAATTTTCCTCTTTCGGGACGCCATTAGAATTTATATTATTGTTTATGGTTGGCGAGCAAAAAAGGCGGTTTTCTTGGGAGAATTTGAATATTTTTTTCGACAAGGATAACTAAATAAGCGAACGTGAGCCGTGAATAAAGAGATTTTTCATAGGGAGTGTCTCGTTCCATTTTATATACTGTCCTTTATACGCAACGATTTGAATTATCGGCAACAAAAGACGATTATTCCCTAACAATTCGATATTTCCATTAATGTATAATATTAATTGCTGGAGTGAAGTGGACGGGACAATAGTGTATTTTAATTATAATCGAATAATCTATACCTTAGATTATTTGATTGTAATTGTTGTCGAGTTTCATTATGTCGTATACGCAATAATAATTACATTTCAATATTTACATCGAATTATTTGATTGCATGCACTAGCAACTTGGATTTGGCTATAAATCTATTTGATTATTATATCTATAATATATCGCATTTGTCCTTTGTATTTTCAGTTATATTTGTTGGTCTGTAGAATGAATATTTTAGTGATAAAAAATTTACTAAAACTTTGTCTTGTTACTAACATCTTCGGGCAGTTGATTTTCACCGATTAATGATCATCGCGCTTTCGGCGCCTCCTGCCACACACTAAATTCATTTTTAATAGCCCTTATCTGCGGCTCGTAATTTTAATCTTTAAAATTGCCGTTCCATGTTTACCAGTCGTTCGTATTTGGGCGACCCTCCTACGCTCCGTCTTCCTCGGATGTTATTTAATCTCTTCGCGGGTCCGTTAAGGTGCCTATATCGTCATTATCGCCCGGGGAGTGTCGCTATTTATCGCCTTTTAGTCAATGAAGGAAATATCGTAAATTTCCTGCGAACGTGCGCCGGCGAGCCGAGTAGCGCGAGGCCATATCATACTCTATATTTTATAATTTTGTTTATCTGCAAAGCATAAAAGACGTATTTATAATACCGGGTGATTCGCGTTGAAGCTCGCTTCTTCTCTTTATTTGTCGCGTCGATTGGCCTGGGTTAAATGAGGCGAGCAGCGACTCTCGCGGGATTAGCCTAACGAGTCGATTCGAAAATTCTATTCGAGTAAAAACGCTTTCAAATGAAAATCTCTTTCATTTCGACGTGTCAGAGACTTAACGTCAACTTATAATGAGATTATGAGAAGGTGACACTCGCCCGGAGAGTTTTAATAAAACAGATACCTCTCTTTCGAAAAGCTTAAAGACGGGTTTTAGGTCCCCTGTTTTTTTTTGTTATCTACGTTGAACAGTAAATTCGATATAATATTTTTGAAAAGACGTTTAAAATACCATTAAATATCATCGTAGAGATAATTTAAAGTAGAGGGAACGCCGCTGGGTGGTTCTTGAAATTGCATGCTTAATTCGCATAATGTTCACCTGGATATTGGATAATTAATTTATATACACGATATCGCACACGCTTCAGGTTTTAACGCTATCAACACTCATTATAGCCGCTTTTGCCTTTACTTAACTACAACAAGCACTGCTACGGTGTTTAATAGCATCTACCTAGGGAGATAATGTGCATTATTATAGATTAGAAATTCTCTTTGGCCCTTACTTTGCGTCACGTTAGAACGTTTGCTCGTCTCTTTCTTTACTTTTTCGTCGATTTACGAAATGTATACGGTGAAACATATTTTAAGTACGCGGTGGTTCATTGCGAAATTAGAGTATCATTTATTATTGCGCTGACAATAAAATCGCCGATAAAAGCGTCCGTTTTCTATAAATATAACGGGTAGAATAACATGGAAAAATCGAATTTTCATTACGTCGAATGCCGAAGTTGGAAAATAATCGCTCATACGGAACATTTAAGTGTCCTTAAATAGTTCCTGCTGGATGCGATAAGACGTAATAAACTAGAAACTGCTTCCCCCATATACGAACTAGTAGTTTTACGACGGAAAATAATATCGGTAATTCCGCCCGGAGGAATTAATACGAAAAATTGTTATCGTTAATAAAAACGGTTTATAGATATTTATAGCGACTTGCAGTTAGCTCCGCAGCGGATTTTTATTATCCCCTGCAATATGATTATCCTAAGAAATTGTTTTTAATATCGAACCCGCCGGAAATTTAGGGGTTTCCTACGCCGCTGGTTTTCGAATTCTCCGCCCGCATTTCGAATATAAAATTGTCAGCGCCGATTCGAGCGATTTGTCAGAAAGCTTTTAGTTTTTAACAAACCGTGAGTAGGGGTTGTTTTTATTGCGTAATTGTTCACGTCAAACCTGCGAAGTGTTTTCCACGAGGAAAAGCGATCCGCGCCCGCCCCATATTCGTTTCCTCTGTTCTATTCCGTCGAAACGAATTACCGAAACGTTCGAAAGCCCGATCGACAGACGTACGCATTTGATTTTTCCCTATTTTTCAGGATTTTAATGAGTTTGAGTGTTGAATTCGATTTTAACAATCTTGTAGAGGAAACTATCAGTTTTAAAGCTTCTATGGTGAATTGGCCGGTATCGATTCCTTCGGGATACGTTGCAGGAAACAATAAAATTCTTACTACTTCTCTAACATAATTTGATTACTTAAATACTAGTAATAATATTAATCTATTAGTGGTTTCCTTTCGGCTGCTATAGTAGTACTGAAAATGTACAATTGTGCAATATTTATCGGCAAAAAAATATATTATTCAATACTCATATTCGGCATAGCGAGCCGGAAAATCGTGTAAATGACGTGTATCATTCACGCAGAGATGGAAAATAAATAACTAAATATTTTGCAAACGTTGAAACGTTTTGTTTTCGTGCTCGTTTCGGACAAAAGCTCGCAATTTAAATCGTACACTTTGAATATAGATTTTTTTTTAAATTCCCCCCCTCTACCGATATATATTATTTCTATCGCAAAAACAACACCGAGCGCAATATTTACCTGGCGCTATATTCACGAAACAGCACAGAAGAACGAATTTAATCTAAAATGCAACAAAATTCATTAAATCAACAGGCCCTCGTAAAAAAAAATCCGCGTTACCTGCATTATTGCGGACCTTCGACAAAGCAAACGCAAATAAAATCTGTTTCATAAATCGTCGCGTTTGAAAATTCGACTCGTTCACTTTAAAAACCTCCAATCTATTCCGCGGCACGTTTTTATCGACGTTCCCTACGAATTAAATCGTCCGTTAAAAGTCGCAACACGACAAAGTCCACACGTTTAATCAATCCAAACTAACAGGATTCTAATTCCAGGTTTGACTCCAGTCAAGTGGCTTCTCCGAGACGATCGTTTACCCGAAGGATCCGCCAGGACCTGGAACCCCCTCAGGAAGAGCTTCTAAGTTTATTCGGAATCCTTGTACTTGATGATGCACCGATTTCGCACCCCTGAAGTGTCCGTTATAATTTGCAACACATTGGGTATGAATAAAATATTATTATATAGTTTCTTAAGCTTGAAGATTGTGTACAAATTGATCATCTGCTTCATCAATTTCATTATCCATGTATCCCATAGTGTCTGTAATTTCGTGAATTTTTTATGTCCCCGCTACTGGAATGCGGTGTAATTGCATAAGGGGCTTTTTTCCCTCATTAATGAGCGTCTTTTTTACTTGATTTCGTATCCCTCTGAGTGTCGTCCTTAAACAAAATGAGAGGGCAGCAGAGGGAATTTCGCTTTGAGGGCCCAACTAAGCGATAAACTAATTAAAGTGGAGAGGTTAAGTATGAGCTCGCTTGTTGCATTAATTACGATATTAAATCGTTTCTGCGGCCATTAGAACGAATCGAATTTTCATGTAATTTCCAGCCGTCGAAATATTTCTTAAAATTAGTGAAATTTTAGCAATTAACGTGATGTTTAATCAGCTTGGTTTCGCTAGATGATTGTCAATATTGTTAATAATGTTCGAATATTGCTTTCGTGTGATCTTTCAAATATCGAAAATATCATGTAACAAATTAACGCATTAAAATCTACTCGGTAATTCAATATTGTTTGGACGCAAAATTGAAACTGAAGAGTAATTAACGATTGTTAAAAGTTTACACGAGTGCGGGTTTCCCATTTCAAATAAAATGAACGGCGCAATTTAAACGGGCTAAAAAAATAAAATCCCTAGAGTAATCGCGTTTCGAGCGAGAGAGGGAGAGTGATGTAGTTTTGCTGAAATTACGGGGATATTAAAACAACAGTTGAAAGGATTATCGAGTGTCACTGTTGTAATTGCAGCGTAATTGTCGATGTCATAACGCAATTACAATTTTTCCGCGACAAAAAACATCGTAAATTTCGCATAAAATCTAATAATTTCTCCATTTCGGAGTTTTTTAATGATCAAAGAACTTCCCCGATACCCTTCCGGAGTTAGGAGCTGACCAACAAAACTCCCTAAACAAGTATTTTATCACAAAAGCGGCGCTCGGTTATTGAATTTTTATCTGGGAATCTCTCCGAACTTTCCGATGCCGTATAAAAGTTTCTCGCCCTTTTATGTGCAAGACAAATTTTATTACGTCGAAATTCCGTACACCTGGTGTACACGCCGTGATTTCGCCTCGCATTCTTCTTCTTCCTTTTTATCAGATTTAATTTTTTTCGCCGATGGCCCCGAGCAATTTACACCTAAACAACCAGTTGCTCGTATTTACCGACGCCCATACCTCGGTGCGCGCCAGGTAGCCGAAAAAAAACCCACTTCGCATGTCCGGGATACTACCAATTTCGTTTTCACACCGTTCTTTCTTTCACAAAACGAATTTTATCGCTCGCTCGAATCGGAATCATTCATACTCTTCATAAAAGGATATTCCCAGATTGCTATCTCGACTCGACAAGGGTGCGGGTATTCTGCATTTTACTGTAGAAATCTTTAAAATGATGCTTCAGTTGTGTATTTTTCTTCAGTGGGTATAGTTGAAGACGTTACCTGCGCGATTTTCTGTTCTGTTCACGTCTACAGCTACTTCTATCGTACTGTAGGTACATTTGATTGATGAAAAGATGAGATATTGCTGGTGTAAAGATGTCGACCCTGTATGAAACGGAAGCGGAAAGACGTTAAAACTTTTCCATATCCACTTCATTTTATTTCAACGTTTAGACGGAGTACTTTCAGCCGCGCGTTTTGACGTGACGTCGCGAGAGATTTCCCCGGATTTTCCGCCCGAATTTCCTTATGAAAAATTCCTCACCGACCGACATGCGTTGCTTGTGTCTTCGAAACGGGAAGCGCTCGATGATTAAAACGGATACACTATGTTAAAAAAAAACCGTTTCTTGTAGATAGCTCGATGGCAAAAACCATTGCGGGAAATTCGCGAAATTACCTCCCGATTTTTTCCCAGTAAACACCTAATTAGTCAATGCGCCGCGTCCTCTCTCATACGAGTCTTTTAATTATGTTTTTACTACGTGAGTAAGTTGCTAAAAGGATAATAAAAGATAATGAACGAACGAAATACGGGAAAGATAACAACAGAAAAAATTAAAAAAAAAACAACAACCAACAGCTGTGTGGTGGCGAATAAGTACAAAAACGAAAAGCGTACGGTTCATATCCGAAAGTACGGAGTACGAGCAGGGAGCCGCCGGCAATTTTGTAGGACCATTAAAAGCACAAATTGCGCTGAAAACGTGACACATAATGTGTTGATACTGTTTATATACTTTAATAAAAAGCTTTAATAAAGTTCGGTGCTCAAACATACGTGCCGCGTATCCACGTTCATACACTGCCCGGGCAACAGAGGGATCGATAATAGCCCTTTTTTAACCAGCCTTGTTTAATGTTCTTAACCGGATTAAAAATCGCAAACTGACAGATTAATATCATCTCCATCAACGCAATATTTATTATCATCAAAAATACTACTAAAATAATCTGTTATTCATCTGAATACAAAGACGAGGCGTAGACGAGTACAAGAACTGCATTAAAAACTTCCAAGAGTCTGTAACGTAGATCTTTAAAATGGCGGAAAAGGAGTTATATCGGTCATTAAAAGAAGTTGCTTTCAACTCGCAGAGTTACTCGCCCTAAAAACGTAAGTTCTTCCAGATAATTGATATGGAATGGAAAGTTTTTGATTTACTCGCTCCCGTAATTTATAGCCAGCGGAATTGTTGAAGATTAGACGATTTAAAATTTTTCTTCCATCTGTTGATAGAATAGCGCATTTGATATTATTAATGTATCTATTTAATTAACTTCATTAAATAGCCATCAAAAATAATCAATTACAAACCGATAAAATTTCAGAAAAAAAATCTCACAGGTATCTCAAGAATCAAGTTGATCGCCAATTAAATAAATTCTTTTTAATCGACGACATTCATAATCGTTTTTATCTAAGAAATTTTACGAAACGGCATTTCACTGCGGGCGCATATGACTAAATCAAACCAATATAAAAATCCCATTTGCTTGTTAACGATCCCAATTAATTATGATAATATGATAACGAGCGATGTCGATTCTTCGGTAGAAAAAATCCGTGGGACACGCCGCAATAAAAATCAAACGGTTTTCCCGAGGAGCGTCGGAAAAGCGGGGGGTTATGGGCGCGGAGGAAGTCGGGAAATCGGAAAGTGGATTCGACGGAATCGGGCGAGGAAATCGGAAATAACGTCGACTTTGTTATCGGGAAACTAGTTAAACAACGACCCTCGAATCACCCTCATTTCGAAACCGGTTCGATTCGCTTTTCCGGAAAATTCCCCTTCCGTCGTCAGGCCGATTTGACGATTTTCCCAATAATTTTAATATCGGGGAAATTTTGGAAATGTCATTTTGTCCGCTAAAAATCAATTACCTACAAACTTAAAGTATCTAAACTTATCTTTAACTCTCCAATATCGCTAAAAAAGCTGCATTAAATGAAGCAAAAAAATATCAAAAGATCTTTCAAAAACATTTAATAGTCTTTCGTCTAAATTTTTTCTCAAATACGCTCAACTATAATGTAAATTCTAATATCCCCTTCGCGTATCGTCATCTCTTAGGAATCCACCTAATTAATTAATTAATTAATTAACCGAACACATACTTGGCACATCTGTTTGTTCTCTTCGGCTGCAACAACCGCAATTAATTAATATTTAAGCAAACAATACCAAACTACCGCATCTCATGTTTATAAGCTAACGATACTTTAAAAAGTTTTACGGCCATTTCTCGTTACATGCACGCGAGTAATTTGCAATCGTCGATAATAATGGTTCGGCAACGGCGAAACGCTCGGTATATCTTCCGGGGATCCCCGCGAGTCCCGGGAATGGCCGATTCGCGTTTAGTTTTAGTCTCACCTCGACAGAAAGTAATTTTCGAACGTTTCATTACGGAAATTATGCACGTACGCGAGCTCGAATTACCGGCAATTAATTTTCATTGCGTTAGAACCGCAAAGTATTCTCCAAAACTATTTCATCGGCTTTAATTAGCCCAATTGTGAACAGTCGATGTTCGAGTTTGTTAGTCAATTTTCGAGGCTTCATATAATAAATTGGTTAAAAAGTAAATAAACGAAGTTTGCTGGTTGCTAAATAGGGATTATTAATTAAGAGAAATGAATTTTTTGATGGTGGAAACTCCACGTTGTAAGGTAATTTTTGGTAAAAATTACTGCTGCTCGGCGGTCGGGGTGGTAGGTGGTTAGGAAAAAAATGCGTTAATGGTCCATTAATTTCATTGGGGTTTTGGAATTCTGGATTTAGGGGCGCCATAAACGCCGGCGAGGTATTTATGGGGTCGCTAGTTCTATTTAATATAACGAATTATGCAGGGTATTCTGTTTTTGTGTAATTATTGCTTGTAGTTACACAAATTAAATACAATTAACAAAAAACTAGTCGATTGCTTCGCACAAAAGAACGTATATATCTCTCCAAATCACGCTTAATATCGCATGTAACGTCGTAATTAATTAATACTAAATTATTAATCGAATCCCACTAACGCCAAGTTTTAACGTTCCCCATCAAATAATCGTACTTCAACGCTTATAACGTAAACACCCTTATCCAAATCATTTCCAAAGACATAACATTCCTAAATATTTCATCAAAAAGAGAATGGTTTCCAATTAAGGCTCTGCGTCGGGGAATTAACAACCGGGAGAAATTAGGAGCGGCTACCCAACCGATCCTTATCTCATCGCATTAAAAACCACCAGAAATATATTTGTGTAATTCTAAAACACCTCCCAAACAATCAACTATATTAAACTATATTATTTATTAATTAGTTTTAATGATATTATGAGAGAAATGTTAGTTGTAGCGCTCGTTGGGCGCTTGCGTAGCCACTACCAACCGAAATTCCCTACATCACAATATCTATATATAAAATTAATTCTCGAAAAGCCCGGCGTTTATCTTTAGGAAATTGAAGGAACTTACGTTTCCATTCGGGGGCCGTTTACCGCCTCTCTTTCTAATTCGGCGGCGCGGCAGACAATCAAAAATCAATTAGAACCTTGTTAAATAATAATAATTCCAATTTGTTTAACGGAGATAAATTGTAACGCTCCGCGTTTCGTAAAAGAAACTCGAAAATTAATTATTCTATTAGCGGATACAATGGATGTAACTCGACGAATTGGTGACTATTTCCCTCGATTATTTTATATTGGAAATAATCTTCCACTTATACGAAGTGATATTCAACCGACTTCATTCAAAAAATGGTGTCGCATTTTTACATTCCTTGTAGATCGTTTTTCACCGGTAGCTTTATCTAGCGAAAATTCCCTCCAACACTCCTCGAACTTCGTTCGAACCGAACCTCGCAGGATCGACCCAAGAGCGAATTTCCTTTAGAGTGGAAATACTCCAATAAACTCCATAAACACGCGTCAGTCGGAACGCTTTTTAGCAGGTTCAAGGGTCGCAAAATTCCTGCCATGTATATACGAAAGAACGGCCCTGTTTTCGAGCCTGCGGGGCCGCCTTTTGGACGAGATAATATATGAACGAGTGCCCGGAGTGTCAGCTTGTTTAGAAGTGCCACTCTTCCATTAAACAATTTGACCTTTTTAATAAATGAAGCGTCGGGCGCGTCAAACGCAAGAGGACGCCCGTTCGGGCGTCTATTTCCCGTCTTATTGCGGTTCGCTTTCGCTCGAATTTATTAACTCCAGAACTATCCGAGTACTTAATTTCTTACCGCTAGTTTGCTACGGGTCTAGAAGAATTAGTTTCTACGGCCTAATTTGATTTGATTTGAGTCCTTTGATGGATCATATTTAAATGTTCTACTTAAAGACCTTCGGGTCACTTGATGGGTAGTCCTTGTATCAAAGGATAACAAAGAAAAGGTTTAATAAAAAGAGGTATTGCTGGTATCAAAATGGAAGATCCTTAATGGATTCTTCAGGCGCATTCCCATCGAATTCATTCAATCCGGTGGAAATATCAGGTGGTAGAGAAGAAGCCATTCACACATTCGCGTCCGGAGAACAAAGGCGAGCCGTTTCGCGCGAGAGAATAAAAAATAGGGAACCATTAAAGTACCATCAGCGACAGGGGAAAAAAAAAGGGGACCGTTTTCCCACCTTTTCGACCTCTCCAATTGGAACGCGACCGGCGCTAATTCCACCAATAACGGCCGCAGGAAGACGTCGAAGATTCGAAATGCAGATATTATTTCGGGTTTCCGGCCGGCGAGTTTTTAATAATCGCCTCTTTCCTGTCTCCATGCGGCGTG